TATTCTACATGTATAAATTTTAGGCAACTAAGGTAAAATGTAATTAATTTAGAAAAGCTTTTCAGGACCCCACTTTTATGTTTCAGGACCCCACTTTGGGTCCCGACCCCAACTTTGGGAACCACTGGGGAGACTTAGGTTCAAAGTGAACCTTATATAAGAAGATTTAGCTTATCTTAAGATGACAGCTTAATTTGGTAATAAATTAGCTAGAATTTTCTTCGTGGAGTAAACGAACACATCTAGCCTGGCTGTAACTCRAAATAAATAACAAACTCCACGTTAAATAACTAACAGCAACATTTAATGCCTGTGTTCGTGTGGAATAGAATAATATTAATGACTTACTGTACTCGTCTTCGTGAGCCAGAGGATAGAAAAATATCGGAAAAAACGAAGCACCCACCGCCATAAAGAAACCTGCGATTACCCACGCTACTTTCGGGTTTTTTGCCATTTTCTCTGGAGCGTCTGAAGCTACGTTTTCACCTTCATATGCAATGTTTACAGCAACAACTGCTTCCGGTGTTAAAGGTCAGTCCAAAACAGGCGAAGTCGAACTGTTTTTGGGCTGTCTGGCCTTCCGTAGCGCATCCCAACAGGATATGTTCCATTTTAATAAGCCGGGATGATAAGCCGCGTGAAACCATTGAACGAAGCGCAAACACCGCCCACCCGCTTAGCCACTTTATCAACCGGATRATAAAAAGGGTGTGCAGCCAGTCACGCGTTGAAGCAAAAATAATAACATGACCGGGAAGTGAAGACAGAGGATACTTTTTTATTCGTTATAGCATATCAAAATGGGATTTTTAGCGGTTTTTGTGTTTATTTGCTGTTTCTATCCGTGTGAAGCTACAGCGGAGGATCAGCCCATTCAAACATTTGTGATTCCCCACAGTCATATGGATGTAGGCTGGGTGTACACGATTCAGGTTTGTTACATACCTGTATACTGCAGAGACCTTAGCTAAGGGTCATATCTAATTTTACAGAAATTGGTTTAAAATTCGGCGTGACAGTAACTGAGAGTCCTCCCCAACACATATTATTTTTTTAAACCTATGTGATTAACTACTGGAGTCAACGCTTGTCTGTCTGTCAGCAAAATATCTCATGAATCGCTGGACTGATTTAAACAAAATTTTACGATATCAATGACTGGTTGTTCCTCTATAACTGATTACATTTCGGAGTTCACCCAATTCAAGATGGCTGCCACAGCCAAGTGAACTCAGAAAACAGAAATGGCAAGACCTTTATCAATTTTACAGACATTGAGCTACAATTTGGTGTGGTAGTAGCTGAGAG